GGTGGGGGGGGAGGGGGGCCCCGCCGTGGCCGCGAGGGGGGAAGCCGAGGCACGGCAGGAAACCGGGGCGCCGCTGACCGGGCCCCCTTTCGCTCTCCCCCCACAGGTGGTGGAGGACGAGAGGAGCGACCGTGAAGAGACGGACAACTCGGAGGAGGAGGAGGAGGCGGCGAAGAACGGGCCCCTCTCCAATGGCCACCCCGTCCTCAACAACAACCATCGCAAAACCGACTGAGCGCCCTCGCCCCGTCTCTGCGCCGGCAGGGGCGGCCGGGGCCCCGCCGGAGGCCAAACCTGTGAGATGTCAAATCCCACCGCTGCCACCCTCGCGTAGCGCCGAGGTCCCCGTCCCCTCCATCCTCTCCCCTCCCCGCCCCGGCCGGGCACCCCGGGGCCCCCTCCCGGCCCCCAGCCCCCTCCGTCCCCTCCTCCGGCGAGGGGCCGCGGCGCTGGGGGCGGCAGCGGTCGCCGCTTCACCTCACGCTCACCGTTGGTGCCCTTCCTGCCTTTCACCTGCTGCCTTAATCCACCGCGGTGCCCCGGGACGGGCAGAGCAAGGACGGCTCCTGCCAGCGTCCCTCCGGGACGGCTCCTTCCCCTCCTCGCAGCCCCCGCGGATCGGCCGTGGCCGCAGAGCTCGGCTCCAGCCCCTCGCCGGGCTCCAACCCTGCCTTATTCCCCCTTTTCCCCACCATCCCTTCGCCGGTGGGGAGCGCGTCCTCAGCCGCCTCGGCAAACGCCGGGGAAAAGCCCCTTCCCCGACCCGTGCCCGGCCCCGCTGCCGGCACCGAGCGAGGGCGGAAAAGCCGGCGCGGTCCCTGCTCGGAGGGCTGGGAGGGGGGCGCGGCGGGGCCCCGGGCCTGGCGGGGGCTGCGGGACGATGACACTATGGCGGCGGCGGGGAAAGGAGGCTGCGGGGTTTGGTCGCTACGAGCGGCTCACGAGGAGCTGAATCCTCTCGTTTCTCTTCAGTAAATGGGTCCCGAGCCTCTCCCTCGCCGCGGCCTCTCCCGCTCCCCTCCCCCGCTGTAACAGGACAAATTTGCAACTGATTTTCTTTTTGTTTGTTTGTTTCTATTTATTCGGAAGAGGGAAGGAGCCGGGCCTGGCTCCGTCTCCGCATCCACCCGGGATGCAGCGAGACCTCCCAGCGCGGAGGGGTGGGGGAGAAGGACCATTAACCAACGTCAGACCAAAACGTGTTTTGTTGTTTTTGTTTTTTAAAAAAAAATATGTTAAAAATATTAAGTTTAAAAACTAATAAACTTCAGTATAAAATTCAAGGCTTCTGTGGCTGGGGGG